TTAAAGATATGGGAGAAGCTCTGATTGTTTGTTTCTCACTTTGGTTTGGAATCTTTCTTTCTTCTGATTTTTTTTTTTTTTGGGGACAAACCACTTGAACAAATTTCATACTTCCACCTAGATTCCGTGCTTCAGAATGTTAAAATGGATTTCAAAATCATCCTATATTTTAAAGTATCGCCAAATAGGTGCGGGTTGACCGGTTCTTGCTTAGTCCATTGAAAAGTGGGTCAAGGTGAGTCAGAATCTATTATGTTTCAAACCCTTGATAGAAAAGTAGGTGCTGGATCATGTTCTTGTTGCTGCTATTTAGTATTAATAACTATTAATTCAATAATTAAATAATGTAATTACTTATATCTATTATTGCCTCTCTTCTCTTTTTATGTTTTGATTGTAGGTGCTTTCTGTTTTATTTCTCATGTGATGAATTCATTTATTGCATTCAGGCACTGGATACCTTCAACACTGCGGTGGTATCTCCCATATATTATGTTATGTTCACATCGTTGACCATTCTGGCTAGTGTTATAATGTTTAAGGTAAGTATTCTTTACTAACTTGTTATTTTTTAACTTGATCGACCACTTGTTTATTGAAGGATCATGTCCAATGATAATATTTAATCTTTAATCTTTAATTCATTTATGATGTCATATATTGATCCTACTGAATATTGGAAAAAACTGCATCCGATGGGTGGAACGTGGAGAAAATTTGTTGTTGTTGTTGGGAGGGGTAGTTAAAAATATTTATAATGATTTAAAATTATTTTAAACATTTGAATTATGATAATAAAAAAAATAAAAATTTTAAATATTTGAAATTACTAATAATAAATTTACGAAAAATTAGAATTATAAAAAAACAAATTATAATTAAAATACATTTCAATGTCTTGACACATATATATATATTGTGTGTGTGTGTGTGTATGAGATGATGAAATATTATTGGGCATTACTGCGTTATATTCATATTTTTTTGGTTTTTATTGAATAGAATTTTCTGGGGTAAACTTCTATAATAAAAGTTTTTTGTAGTCCTTTTTATATTGCCTTTGGAATCTTTTTTTAATATACGCAAGTACAACAACATTAACTGTGTCATTTATTTTATTTATTTTGAAATTGTATTTTTATAATATATAGAGTGATTAAAGAAATTTTTTTTTTATGAAAGAGTGTGAATAAGAGGTTGGAAAGTATATTGTTGGTCATTTCCAAAAGTAAATATAAAAAATTAATTTATAATTTCTTATGATCAATATAAAAAAATAAATAAATATGGTTTTAATTAGAAGATTGTTAAAGACTTTGAAGCATTAGTGGCAACTGATAGAAAAAATTTAGTAAGAGGGGGGAATACAAAATTTTAGAGGGGGACAAATACATAATTTTTAGCAAAAATTAAAGGCTTTATGGAGGCATTAAATACATACTCTTTTTGGTTTTGTTTACAAGTCACTTATAACATTTTTCGCCATAACCAATTAAGATTCATTAACTCTATTGAAAAATGTAATAAATTTTCAGCTTTACCTCTATTAAATATACGTGCTTTAATAATCAGCATTTAATGGGGTAAGAGCAGCAACTTCTAGTAAAAATCTAATGACATTAGTACATTACTTATAAATAAGACAAAAAAAAAATCTTTTTCTTTCTACCTTTTAATAGAGGGAGTATTATTGTCAAATTCTCCCTTGGTCTGTCTTTGCGCATTGTGGATCCTACATGGACCAACTAAAATGAACTTCTGGAAAAGTTGAGGAATAGATTATTGTTGATTCAAAGTCTTTATTTTTGATAGGGTGCGAAACTTTTCCCACCTGTACCATGAATAAGCATGCATTAGTTCAAAATCCTTTGGACACAAACACTATGGCAACTTGTTTGCCCTATGTATTTTATTGGCTTTTTTTTAGGTGAGATGTATTTTATTACTTTTATCATCTAGTCCGTTAAATGAGTAATTTCTGTCTTTTACTTGAATCTTATATGTAAAATGTATGTTTAAAGCTTGACTAGCAGTGTCTGTTCACTGTTTTCGATTTTGGATGACTGACACTTAATCTACCTTCTGAATTTGATATCAGGACTGGGATAGGCAGAGTCCGACACAAGTTGTCACAGAGATGTGTGGATTTGTGACGATACTTTCAGGAACTTTTCTTCTTCACAAAACTAAAGATATGGCTGATGGTATGCTCCGCCAATCCTTTATCTCTATCATCGTATTCTTGGTAATCTTTTATCTTTGTCTTTAACCTTTGATCATCAAAATTGCCCAAAGGACAAAATGACTCGATTTCCTTCGCATCCTCTTGTTTATAGGTATAATCGGGTCTAGTCTAACTTTAGAATGCTCTCTCTCTCTCTCTCTCTCTCTCTCTCTCTCTCTCATTTTGGAATTTGCTGAGCTCTAACTCTAGCTTGACCTTTAATCAAGTTTAAATTTATAATTAAGCTTAATCATTGGATAAATAAACCATTGCAAACATAATAGCATCGACATGCACAAGATAAATTTATTAAAAAGGGGAAAATAAAGTCCCCTTAATTTCTTTTACTTGCAAATAGCTCTTGAACTTTCAAAATCAGCGGTTAGTTTTTGAAATTCCAACAAATTGGTTTTTCTATTTTTCCCCATACTAATAGGAATTCATTTCGACATTCCCATGATAGACATGTTAGCATGGGGACAAATGGAAGTTTTCCATATCTATTTGCTAGAATGTGGAACAAAGTGGAAAAAAATGGAGTTACTAAAACCATGCGTGTAAAAAATCATGAATACTTTGTTCAGTTTGTCTCATTTAAGTGAACAAATTCGACATGCTATTGAAGCTTTATACATTTTAGAAACAAGTCTAGCTAAAATCAACCTTTTCGGGACTTGAGTTTAAACTAGTCCAGTTCATTTGCATCCATGGTCTGTTTTATCTGCATGCTTTCTCACACTGACACTTAATCATTGATTATTATTAGTACAACTGGATGTGGGTCTCACATTTTACATGGAGTTTGAAATGAGTCGTACTATTCATGATTACTTCTTATAAATCACGTGTATATATTTTGATATTGGTAATCAATCCATGTACAGGCTTACCGGCAACTTTGCCCGTCAAACTTCCCAAGCATTCAGAAGATGATGATTTCGGTAATGGTGAAGGGATTCCCCTAAGACGGCAGGAATCGTTGAGAGCATCATGATATATATAGAGATATATATATAAATATAAATATACACACTTTTTGCCATGCCATTGCATGCAATTCTCTCATACTTTTGTCTCGTGGGGAGGGACCTTGTGAAGGTCACACTGTATTTGAGCAAGATTTTTCCGCCCCCCAGTCGTCATCGTCGTCATCATCATATATTCATTTTCTGATACAGTTGGGATATGGATGAGATTGTCCTGTCATGGTCCTTTAGGCTTCCCTGATGATTATTGATTGATGTTGCCTTGTACACCTCTCTCTAAGCTCCACACATCAGAAGACACAGTCCAATGTAATTTTCTGCTCCCTGATTATTATTATTATTATTATATAGTGTATCTCAGTTAAAATCCAGGTAGCTCTCTGCAACAAATATTGAAAATGTTGTCAACATTCTTATATACACGTTCACTCTTTGCAATCATTTGCGAGGAGTCAATTGAGACTCACAAAAAGGGGTTTACTGATTTAGCGAGTTTTTATTTGTTCCTTGTTTCTCTGTATCTAGCTCATCAATTGTTTTTAACTTCAGTATTTCCACTTTGCGTATTAGTTTAGTGAGAAACGACTTTTTATTACTGTGAAACTCATTGTTTGGCCTTTTTTTTTTTCAATATAAAAAAAGGAATCAGATTTTAAAAATCTAGTATTCAGGCAAATTGCCATACAGCATATTGGTGCAAGTGCCTTTTTTTTTTAAAAAAATTTTATGAGAAAAAAGGCCGACTGTTTGATTTAAATATTTATACAAGGTAGAATATTTTAGAAGGTTAAAACGTTTTTGGTGGTTGAGGATCAAGAACTTGCTTTAATTTTCAGAAAAAATGTCGAGAGATCTTATTAACATGTAATGCTGTTTGTGTTTCTTTAAATCTCGTTATTGCCAAATCATGTTTGTGTTTTATACATTTCTTGGGTGAGTTACACTGTCATGTTGAATCAATCTGTAGGTTGCAACTTGTTCAGTTTCAAAACAAGAGAAGATTCCATTCTTTTGTTTCGTTTTGGAATATCTGCTTTCTATCGTCAAGGCTTGACTTTAGTATTGAAGTAATCAAATAATTTCCAAGCATCTGGATCATTTAAATTTAAAAATACTAAAATAGAAGGATTTCCACTCTGGGAAGAGAATATTCAACTAAATATTCTGGATAAAACTTGTTCAATTTACTTGAAAAGAAAACGCTAGCAATCTGTAACTTGTGGCTTGTTAACAACTAACATGTTACTATCAATATGTTATGGTTTTTCTGAAAAGGGTATAACTATTCAGGTAAGGTTTTAAATTTGAGTTTGTGCAAATATAAAAAAATGCCAATGGAAAAACTATCCTCATTTAAATTCAGTTCGAATCTAACCTAGTTAAATAATTATGTGAGAAAAAAAAAACAAAACAAAAACAGAAAATCTCTTACTCTTTCATTTATAACCTATAATTTGCAAGAGCGGCAGCAACTACTACTGCCACTGATGCATTAACATAAATATTTTATTATAAATTGTTTTTGATAAAAAAAAGTAACATAATATTGCTTACAATTTATTACCAATGTTATTATTTCCTCAATTATATTCCCTGGGAATTTAATATTTGATGACATAGCTTCCGCCCCTTAATTTTCTTTGTTTTTTTTTTGGTAGCGAACTTGTGCATTTGAAACCATGTTGAACTCCCGTGAATTTGAATCTAGATCGAGGGTAGCTTCCAAAACGTGTCTTTTGCTTACACTCATATTTAAATGCAAGTAATTATACTTAAATGAAGTCTACCTCTTTCCAACAAGACCAACACCTGTTAATTCTATCCCTTCAAAATTTCTAATCCATACAAGCATGAGAAAGCTCCTATTGAAAAATGTCTGACATACTCAAGCGTGTCTCTTCACAATTGGCTTGATTTGTTTACAAATATTTGATTGACACAATCTAATTAAGGATTTTTCTTAAGTTAAAGTAATCAATGTCATCGCTCATCAATTAAAAGTAATCTTAAAGCAGTAGAACACAGCTCTATCCTGTAGCCTTCTGCTTCAAAAGCCCTGAAAGGGAACCGCAATGTGTTGATTTATAATTGCATTTCTCACAACAAGACTCCAACTTTTCAATGACTTGAAGGCACCTGCACAGAATGAAAGCAGTGAGTAGAAGCCTCTAATAATCAAGTTAATGAAGTTCGATACTCCCTTTGTTCTTGTTTACAAGGCAGAGACAGAAGATTTTTTCATCCCATTTATAAGCCGCATCATTAAATTTTTATAGCAAAATTTTCCTTTCACCCTCTATTAAATATTGATGAGAGAAATTATATTATTAGAATATATCAGTATATTATATATTTAATAGGAGTAAAGTTGAAAACTTATTCAATTTTTAGAAAGAGTAAATGAGTTTTAAAATTTTCTTTAATTCTAGTAAATCATGGTAGAAGTGAGTTATAAATAAGATTAAAGAAGTACAACAAGCTTGCAAAAAAGGAAAAAACAGTTGCTTTAATTTATCATAATGCGGACTTCTAATTATACTATGGTGAAACAAATGACACATTGTAATCAACAGTAGATTAATGAACCCTAACTTTCAAAGCTACATAGAACAAGCAGAAGAGTCGCAGTCTAGCTTATTGACAGATCCAGTGTTCAAAAGTAGTGCAAAGCTCCACCTCGTTGGGAAGAAACAAAACTGCACTGTAAAGACTTTCATGTGACAGGCTATGAAAATTATGAAACTAACTCATACCTTTTCTTTTTTTTTTTTTTTGGGGGGGGGGGGGGGACGCTTTTTCATCTGTTCCAAACTTCCACCACTGGCAAGTTAAGAAAGCAGCTAAAGGAATGTTGTAAGGTAAAAGAAACTTGCTACTTGGCCTTCCATCATCTATTATTATACAGAAGTTCAATTTCTATTTGATGCAAAGATTCAATTTCGTCAACATCACATGCACTATTTACCTCGAAGGATTTATTTGGAACAAGATTTGATTAAAGCTCTTTATGTATTTGCAATCAGAGATTCCAACAACTTTAACATTTTTTCACAACTCAGTATTACATGACCTTTCAAAGAAGATTGTCAACTTCCACCACTGGTAAGTTAAGAAAGCTGTAAAAAGAATGTTGCACCGTAAAAGAAACTTGCTACTTTCAGGCTTTCCATAATCTATTGCACAGAAGATTCAATTACTTCAACATGGGAAATACAACTTTTGGCCAAAAAATAAGGGCATATACAACTCACCTAAGAGGATTTATTTGGAACAAGATTTGGTTAAAAATCTTTAGGTATTCACATTCTGAATTATTAAGAACAAAATTTGAATTTTTAAATAATTAAGCATTACGTGATTGATTTGCCTTTATCCTGCAAGATGATACACAATAAAACCCTCAGTATTCTAAAGAAAAAAGGGTTCAAGTTTCCATTATGGATCATAACCACAAGCAGCCATCAACTCATAACGCTGCACCTCATCTATACAGGCTAAAATACCACTATATATATATATATAACGCAAAAAACATTATAGCAATACGAGATAGGACATTTGCAGTATTGATATGCTTAAATTGCATGGCTTGAGCATATGGAAACATTGTATTGTCAACATGGAAATCACTCAGAAGGCAAATAAGTCTTTTGCAGTCTTCTCTGACTTCGTAGTGGACAGAGTTACGCAAGCATGTCCATCTCCATCCATGGTAGTGAAGATCCCTGCTTAATCCTTACGTACCAAATTAAGGGAAGCTAGCCCTTAAATCCCGCCAGAATATTTTCCCTTGCTTTTCTTGATAATTCAGCAAGGTCTCTTTTTCTTCAACTTGTTAAATATTTTTGGCTCTTTTATTCTTAATCACACTGAGATGTGCTTTTATTAAGACTTATTTATCCTCAATGTACGAGGGTTCCCATCTCCCCACGGTTACATATTCCACTCATCATCGTCATTATTTTGCTCATAGAGAAGAGACAAACAGCTCAAAGAAAAGAGTTATGTTGCAGATTATTTTCCAAGAAAGATAGTGCATTTTTATATTCTTCGTGCAAGTGATTCCATACTGCATATTGCAGCAAGAGTGAAGTGCAAGAACTACGAGCCTTAAAATGTTGAATTGTTAATGTTAAGACTACTCAGAAGGCTTGCAATCTCGTCTGATAGTCTCCAACTTTCTAATAATCAGAAGTCAGAACCTTGTCTTACAACCAAAATACAAGGATATTTGGGAGATCTATGGTACAGGAGATCTTAGATTTTGTCCTTAAGTGCTGTTTCAGCACTATTAAGTTTGACATGCAGATATCTGGGAAAATTGCAGTCAGCCCCCCTTGACCCAGCTTAATTTCAATCAACCCCCCTAAAACTCTGAAATTTTACTATATATGTGGGGGATTGAAATGAAATTAAAAAGCTGATTCAAATGACCTTATTGTCCTTGGTGAAATGAACAACTGAAGTATGGAAAATGAACATGTAACATATAAAAAATGAACAACTGATGTGGGTGGAATTTGCAACTCTCATTAACAGTATAATACCACTATGAATATAAATAAGTGAATCTAGGGGCATGACCAATTCATGTAGGAAAAATAAACAACTAACGTAGGTGGAACGAGAGTTGCAAATTCAAAGTGGTGTTGTGCTGTTAATAAAAGTCGCAAATTCCACTTATGTCCATCGTTTATTTTTCATATATCAGTTATTTGTTTTCCTTACACAAGTTGTTGATGCACCTAACTTCATGAAGGACAATAAGGTTATTTAAGTCATTTCCTTAATTTCACTTCAATCCCCCACATGTGCAGTAAAATTTCAGAGTTTTAGAGGGTTGGACTGAAATTAAGTTGGGTTAAGGGGGTTGACTAAAATTTTCCCCAGATATTTTATTGAAAAGACGGTTATGCACATTGAACATGGTTGTAAGATTAAAGAGAAAGATTATGGTACAGATCTATTATATTCTGTAAGCAAGTTTCTGCATTTTACTAATCTGTCAGCAAGTTGTTTCATTTTCTACACCAATCAGAGTCCAGACACAGACCGATAATGGCAGTAAACAGTATAACAGCTTATTATTATTTTGGAAAAGAGAGAAATAACTTCAACAAAATGAAGAAATAGAAGAATAATATAATACAGGATCGGTTCTAACTCATCAGATGCTCCCAAGCATCAGCAAGAGACAGAAAGGGTTTCTAGTCACAAAGGATTTACACTGGATGGATGTTCGCCTCAAGCAGAACAATAACTAGAGTAATGAAAAGAGAACGGGAACTACTACCATTTAGTCCAAAACAATTAAAAAAAAATTAATATTCTTAGTCAGATGGCCAGCACTATCTCTTACTCCGCCAAGATCATTGTATCAGAAACTCAAAATTCATTTGTTTCATTAATACGCAAGAACAGCACATCACCATCCAAGCACAACAGCAAGGAACTCATTAGAAATGTGATGTACGCCTTGTGAAAAGTAGAAAAGTATTAATGATACTGATATGCCTATTGCTTGATTATACTGGCTTTCAACGAGGAATTCCATACATAGTTCATCAGAGAAAACTCCATAGAAGATCGCTCATCTAAGCAAATTATCGACATATCCAGCTGTAACTAACAATGATAAAAGTTGCAATACTAAGAAATGACAAAATGATCCCAAAAACGCAATCAACAAAACCTAGATGATCAAAATGCTAATCAAAGAAGGCCAAAAAGCGAACGAGCAAATCATTCCACGATTTGCAATCAAGCACGTGCAAGCATGTTCTGAGGAATCAAACAAAAATTCAAACGGCTGACAAATAATCAGATTTCAAGATTGAAATCAAACGAGGCGTAAAAGGTACCTTTGAGGGATAAAGTTATTCTTGGAGAGACAGGCTTGAATGTCACAAGCCTGTTTCTTGCAGGGCTCTTTGCTTGGCTGAGGCATGCTTCGGGAATCAGTAACTTCAGTGTATGGTAGCTATGAATGGCGGCCTTCGCTAGCTTGGAAGATGCAGTGATCGTGGACGTCGATGGCGGTTGAAGAGAAAGGAACGACGTCGTATAGCTGGAGGCAAGTATACGAGGGAAACAGAAAGCCGATGAATCGTCCTCCTGGTTCTGCAAGTTGGAGACTTTCTCGAGCCATCTCGTGAGGAGGCGAGGTTCTCCACGCTATTCATTACAATCCGGTTCGGGAGATGCGCCCCACGAACAATGGGTACGGCCCTTATCCTGGGTCAATTTGTTAAACCAATATCAATATCTTGATCAATTGAACAAAATGCTGGGAGAGGATCATAGATGGGATTTAATTATTAATGAATTTAAAAAAAATATAAAAATTCACTTCAGTTTGAGGGGATTGAAATGGAGATTATTTCAACAATAAAAAAAATTAAAATGCTCTTCATTTATTACGTAAAATCATTAATTATTTATTTTTTTATTTCACTTATTATTTTATTAAATGAGTTGTAAATTATATCCATTTGTTAGAAAAATAGTAATATCAATTGTTAAATTATTAATCTACTAATATTAGTTATAAATTATAATACATGTCAATAATTTACAACTAATATTAATAAATTAACAAGTAAAATTAGCAATTTAACAACTAATATTGTTGTTTGGGACTAAACAACTTATATCGAGTCTTATATAATTATTAATATATTAATTTATGTAATTTATAATTCATATTACTAAGTTGACGAGTAAAATAAAAAAAATTAATAACTAATTATTTTGCATAACAGGTTAAGAGTACTTTGATCATTTTATCATTAAAATTAGTTTTATTTTAATCCTTTGGACTAAATTGAAGTTTTAGATTTTTTTGAGATCCACTAATAAGTAAGCTTCATCTATAGTTTTTCATTGAAATTCTTCCTAAAATATTTTATTTATAATTATTTTGATGATAATTCAATGATGATTTTGATTATTAATATTTAAACCAGCACTTGACCAGTTCCCAGAATGATTGGGAATCCAATGGATGGAAATAAAATGTGGTGGAAGTTACATGAATTTATTTCGTACAATATTTAAAAAAAAGTTAATCTTTTAGTTGTATAAATTTTAATTTACATAAAACCTAGTTTTTCAAGCAATCAGTGTAACCCAACCCCTAAAACTTTCACTAGTCTAAAACTCAATTCTTAATATTTTTTCCTATTTAATCCTTGTCAACCATAAATTAAATTGAGTCATGGCTGACTTATCCTACATGGCAGAATAAATTTTGAATCAGCATCCATATAAGCGCCATGTCAAATAATGATTTAGTGAGGAGAGAAAGGGGAAAAAGCCTAAGGAATTAAAATTAGAGATTTTCGATGAAGGTTAGTACTGTCAAGATAAATTTTTACGTTGATCCAATGCACCACATCATCCATGCTTTTCTAATAAAAACCTGTCATTTAGATGATTATAAATATAAATTGATTCTATGTCTTATGATGATAAAAGGAGAAAAGATAATAAATTAAAGATGTATTCTATTTTAAAAATAAAATTATTAAAAATAATGATATATAATATTTTATTTAATTGAATTGATGTAATTTTATTATGTGAAGCATGAATGATGTGATATACTAGTCCACGCAAGAATTTCTCGGGCTGGCCAATCAGTAGTAGAGCTGTCAATTAGGGCCAGCCCGGCCCTAAAGGGCCGGCCCTTGAAGGGCCAGGGCCTAAACGGCTGGTCCTAATAAGCCCGATTACATATCAGAGCTCCATTTTTTAAGGCCCAGCCCTAGCCCTCAGGGCTAAAGGGCCGGCCCTCAGGGCCTCGGCCCTATTTTTTTAAAATTATTTTTTCAATTAAAAATTATAAAATATATATTTATAATCATAAAAAAGTTATTATTCATAAAATTAAGTTTAAGAAAATAAATTTAAATAAATTTACACCACAACAATAAAGAAAACTAAAATATTTAGGTCTAATATCAAATAGCAACATCAAAGTGAATACCAATAAAAATTAAACTTAGCTAATATTATCAGCTAAATCTTAATAAATAAATGAGGGATGAATGAATGCATTTAATATGTTTATTTCTTTGAATTATGTATTTAATCTTTTATTTTTTTATATTATAATTTTTTTAAAAAAATTATAAACGGGCCTAAAAGGGCCGGCCCTAGCCCTAAAGGGCCGGCCCTTTTATTTTCGGGCCTAAAAGGGTTGGCCCTTTTAGACTCGATTTACTTTTTAAAGATAAAATAGAAGCCCGACCCTTAATTTTTTCGGGCCTAAAAGGGTCGGCCCTAATTGACGGCTCTAATCAGTAGGGGTGGAAATAAAAACTTACAAATATATTATCCCAAATCAAATATCTTTTTTAATTACCTTTTATAGAAATCATGTTTATTGATATTAATTTATTTCTTGACCAATATAAAATGATTATTTATTTGAAAAAATTATGTATAGGTTTCATAGAAGCAACTTATTTATAAATAAATTTTATAAAATTTAAAAATTATAACTAAATCTCTTAAAACTTTAGTGTAAGTTGTGATTTGTGTGCAAATACAACACTATCCTTACCTATTAGGTTACAATAACAAAGATGCCCATGGCTTTTCAATTAAACATTATGTACACTTTGTTTACGCTCACGATCACTCTATTTATATTCACAGTAGCTCTACCATGTTCTTCTTCGCTAGACGTTGTGTTGAATGCTCTCTCTACCTTGTTCTTTTTCACCATCGAAGCCTAGCTACGAAATTGCCACGGCAAAATCCATGATAATTTTATATGAGCAACTCCTTCATCATGACAATCAATCGTAATTGATGATGCTTCTCCTTGTCCTTATAATTGCTTTGCACGCTAAAGGCCCTATCTCAATCAACAAATAAGATTTCATTATTCAGTTTAATTTTTCATTACTTTAAGTTTTAATTTCCATTTTTCAATTTTTCGGACTACTTTATGATCAAAATCACTGTGTACAAGATAGTATGAAAAGGATATTGACAGTTTGCAAAAAAGTTTGAACATTTGCTTTGCTAGATATAATTTTTTCCAAAAAAAAAAAAACAGAGACCAAATTCAATTATACGAGGAAAAAGTTACAGAAAAAAAATTGGTTTGAGTGATTTTATAATTTACTGTTGGTTGGTTCTATAAAATTATTATTGTAAAAAGTTGAAGTGATAGTTATAAGATATCGATAAAATAATTATAAATAATTAGTATTAAACTTGTTAGTAATTCATAATAAGTTTTACAATTAGATATGTAAAGCAGAAGTTATAAAAAAATTAAAGTAATAATTATAAATAACAAATGAAATAGTTGTAAGCAATTAGCATTAAATTTTTTAATAACATATTATTAGTTTAACTATTAAACATGTAAAGTTACAGTTATAAAAAATTAAAATGATAATTATAAATTATTAATAAGGTAATTGTAAACAATGTATAATTGGTTTAATTATTATATTGATTGTTGTAGTATTATCTTTACACTCCAATCTCAAATTACACTTGGTACTCTATATGAAGTTTTTTAATTTGTGAGACTTATTTGTAGATAAGTTGTTTTCACATAACCTATACATAATTTTTCCTATTTATTTCTTATAATTAAAGAAATTAAGGGAGTAATTAATTTAAAGAACTCTTTTTCAACTGGATTTTCATTTGAGAAAAAGAAAAACGTATCAATTACGCTTAATTTTTGTAAATCATCTTACAAATATGAAGACTAAAACTTTCTAATTGAGTAGATAGATAGGGTATGCTTAGATTAAATCCATCATTTCAAAATTATTTTTTCTATTTTTATAATTAAAAGAATAAGTGAGTTGGATTTTGGATACTCATCCCAGGACATGTACATATGCTTCCATCTCAAGAGTGATGATCTTTTCAAAATCAAAACCCCTGGACGTGATCCTTTAGAATTAATTTATAAAAGATGAACCAATTGCTTCTTGTTAATCTTTCTTTCTTCGTTCATTTGAATCTTTACACTAATCTTAATCTTAAAGTCCTAATAGTTGATTACATTTCTCTAAGAAAATTTATCACATACCCTACGACAGGCAAATATAGGAACAACTGCTTTTTTTTTTTTTCGTCTGAAAAATATTACTTTAGATTAGAAGCTCACACCTCATTTCTCTTAACGCCATTCTATACCTAGCATTTTGAAATATGAGCAATGATAGATGGGACTTATATAAACCTTCTCACACATTTTGCCAACTCATCATCACTTAATTAACTTGGAGGGATGATAAAACTTTTAATTCTTTAGACTTGTCTCAATTATAAATTTGGCCCCTTAAGTTTTTTTAAATTATCATATTAGTTACTTAAATTTTAAAATACAAATCGACTCTCAATCCTATTGTAAGAATTTGAGCCTTAGTTCGACATGATGTAAAAGACTAATTTTTTTCATTAGACCTAATCCTGTTGGTTAATTAAGACAAGCTTAATTAATGGAATAAAAGTTTCATTATCAATAATAATAATAATAATAATAATAATCCACTTATGTAAAAAACGGCGAAGCAGAAATGACTAAAGATATAAAATTGTATGTTACATAGGCATACATTGGTTTTTTTACACACAGTACATTTACCAAGAATTAAACAAATTAAAAAATAGAAAAAAAGAAATACATTTTGTTGACAAAACGACAAAATTAAAACCCAAAATGCAAACATGTATTTAATGATAATTTTTCAATCATAGAAGAAAGGAGACGCATAGAGAGGATTATGGTGATTAGTAGGAGATCCTTTTTTCTTAGAAAAAAACCCGCCCACGAGTGGAATTATTGGCTTCATCTTCTTCTTCATTTTTCTTTCCCCCATTTTCTCTCCCAAATAATAATAATTATTATTATAACTTTCTCTCTCCCCAACACTTAGAATCTGAGCCAGAGTTTCCTTTTTCTTCTTCTTCTTCTTCACTTCTTCTTCCTCTATCACAATCTCTCCTTTGTTAACATAATCATGATCATCGTCCTTGTAATGATTCAGCCTCTCATCAAACCTCACCGTTTTCCCCGCGGCCTTCCCAGCGGCGGCCGCCTCAGCCTGAGCCAGCTTCGACATGTTCTTGTGAAGCTCTGCGTTGAGTGTCGCCAATGCCACCTCCGTATCATTCTCTCTTTCCTTCAACTGCTTCAGCTCCATCTTCGTCTCCTCCAGCTCTGCTTCAACCTTCTTTAGGGTTTCCAAAAGTCCATTGCTATTATTATTGTTATAATTCTTCTGATGATCGTTGTAGTTGTAACTAACATCATCTTCTCCCTTTATCGCTGTCGTCGTCACCGGACTCGACGTGAACCTCCACGAATTCTCTCGCTTGATCGGCTTCAAAGCTGGCGAGGGCGAGGGAGAGCCGATTTCTTTGACGAGAAGGCGCTCGCCGAAGACGGCGATGGCTTCCTTGACGGAGCGGAAAGCCGAGGAGGTGTCGACGGTGGAGGCGAAATCTAGGGTTTGAGGTTGAGGTTCCATGAAGTGATATGATGTGGAAGAAGGAGATGGAGATCAAAGAAGGTGAAGACTGGAGGGTTGGTTGTTAGGTTGAAATTAATAGTGTTGTTGTGTGTGGTGTTGTGAGTGTAAGGTTTTCTTTGCTTGTACTTCAATGGTTGTGATGGATGAAGGAAGAGACATAGAGTGAAAGCAAAGTGGGAGATATATAAATATATATATATATATGGAGGGGTTTTAGGTTTCTTTCTATTGCAAGGCAAAAAGATCAGATTGTGTTGGTTTTGTGTAGGTTGTGTATGTGTGTGTTTTTGTCTGTGTGTGTGGGGTTTGGTTCTTATTGGTGGGCTTGAGGATGACCAGCAAACTAACTATCTGGTATATATGTCACGTGAGGAGTCACGTGATAGAAGGTCATGATCTATATTATTATTCATTAGGTAGCTTGAGATGGGATATATATATTTCTCACAGTACTAATGATGAGAATTGGATTGATTTGTGATGATTGACATTCAATGGAGAAATTTGATGAATAGGCTTTTGGCATGATTGGAATGGTCAAAAAATTAGGCAACTGAAATTTCAAGAAAAAGTTGTTTAAATTGATTAAAAAAGGCACAAATAAATGAAAATTAATCTAAATCGATGTAATTATTTTTTAAGTACGGATGAATTTAAATTTCAGATTTAAAATTTCACATTTTAAATTCATGTATTTGAAATTTTTTATTTGAACAATGCCAAAAAAAATAATAATAAAGGAAGAAAGAAAAGGGATAAAATAAAAGATTATAAAATAATGAGGACCAGAAATGACAGAAGACACGAGAGTAACAAAAACACTGACAATGAAAACTTGAAGAGAACAAGAAGGTTTTAAACGACCGTGTTCCAAAAATTTAAAATTACAAAAATGTTATAATAAAACATGTACTCTAATTTGAACTAAATCTATATTTATATATTTTTATGTATCCCAGCTAAGTTAGAAATTTGGCTCAAATTCAAATTTTCATTAATTCAAACAATACATTAATTTTTTTAAAATAGTAAAAATTGTTCTTTTAACTAAAAGTACAGAATAATACTTAAAAATATTCAAATTAGTTAATATATTTTCATATCACATGACATTTTAAAAATATAGTTAACAATGATAGGTTGGACTACAGTTCAAACCTCCAAATAGATATTATATGACATTTTAATTTATAGAATCTATATACATGTAATCAATGGTGTGCCATGACCCTAGGTCAAAGGGGTGTAATATTTTTTAAGACTTCAGTTGAACATATTTAAAACTTTTTAAAACCCAAATATTTTTAAAGTTGGGTTAAGGGTACAAAATATTTGAGTCAAGAGGTGCAAAGTAGTGAAATATATAACCCCTCTTATAATTTTCTCTAAGTTCAGCATTCCCCCGAACTTATACATGGCACGGCCCATGCATGTAATATCATTGTTATTTTTTATCTATTGTTGAATGGACGGTAACAATTTTTTTTAAAACAAATTGTTAAAATATCATGTGGGCCTCATAGTAGAAAAATAAATGTGGGGTTCATGGTTAAAAAAAATTAATAGCAGATATAAAATTCATAATAAAAATAAATGTTGTGAGATATATTATTTGTTGATTCTATTTTGTGTAAGTATAAAATAATAAATTGTATAATAAAATATAAAGTTAAATAAAAAATTATAAGATAAATTTTTTTATTTTTTAAATTTAATTTATATGAAAATAACATTTATAAAAATAATAAATTATTTTTATATTTTTAATATACACAGGTAACAAATTTTTATGTATAATTGCCTAGGATTTAAATTCTTTGACGTTGATATCTATAAATTTTTGTACAGTTTTCCTTTTTAAAAAAGAAAGAGAAATTTTCTATTTTAAAAAATAATAAAATGAAAAAATATTTAAAAAAAAAAAAAATGCACTGAAATTTACATATATCAACTTTAGAGAATTTAAATTCAATTTTTTAATATACAGAGCATGTTATTTATGTTTTCAATATGTACATAGGAAAAAGTCTATAATATAACTAGTTATTTAAATTTTAATTTATGTGAGAATAACACATCGCAGGATATAATATAACAAATTGTTTATTATATTTTCATATACGCAGAAATATCAAATTACAAAATAGTATATGTGAAAATAAAATAAGTTATTGTTGATATTCTTATTATGCATGAGGTAACAAATTTATTATTAGGAAAATTAATTACTTGATTCATGTAGTTTTGACCTACTTATAATCTAATTTTTAAATTTTAATTCGTTGTAACTCAATCGTAATAGTTTTAACTTGATTGTAATTTAATCCCTAAATTTTACCTCTTCTAATTTATTTCCTATAGTTTAATTACTTAAATATTGATCTTTATATTTTAAAAAATAAAATTATAAAGATTAAAAATATCTTAAACTTTTAATATTTATAATATTTAAAGATTAAAAGATTAAAACCATAAGATTTTGAAATTTTAATATTTATATTATTTATATTATTTGCAATAAAATTATTACTAATAAAAACATTTACAATATTTTTAAAATTTATTAATAATATTTTAAATTATTAAACCCTTTTAATCTTAATAAATATTATAAATATTAGAAGTTTAAAATATTTTTAATATTTTTAATTTTATTTTTTAAAATATAGAAATTAATATTTAAGTGTTTAAAACTATATAGACTAAATTGTAAGAGGTAAAATTTACAGAATGAGTTATAACTAAATTAAAAATATAAAAACTGAATTACAATAAGTTAAAATTGAGATATTGAGTTGTAAGTGAGTCAAAACTATAAGAATTAAATAATTAATTTTTTTATTATCAATATACATAAGCATACTACAATTTTAAAATCTATTGAAAACATTGCAATTATGTACTTCAAATTTATTCTTACGAGGTTGGAGAATTTATTTTTACTGCACACCTCCTATACTTCTCTTAGTCGTTAAATAGTACTATAATATTGGTTATTCTACTTCCTTAATTTAAAATCATTATTCATATTTATTTTTACTTTTGGCTGTAATTATGATTTATAAATATTATTATAACATAAATTACAGTGTATGATTTATTATGATATATGTTTTATTTTTTTCATGACGCATGGACCAACAAAGTCTTAAAGAAAATACGCTAAATTTATTTTGCATGATATGCTAATTAAAAAAATATTTATAATTTTTTGTATGCATGAAGGCAATACATTGTAAAATAACAATTGTAACTTAGAAATTTATACAGAGAAAATACTGACAAATCTAATAATATTTGTTAGAGAATAACTTTTTTAGTTAATTATGGGGTAATACTTAACAGAAAATTTATTCTTTAACACAATTTTAAATTTTTCCCTCACATTAATTGAAGGAAGAGTACAAATCTAGGTATTTCCTTCTTAAATCCATTATGGAAGCAACAAATTTTAAAATAACAATAAATTATTATTTATATCTTTAATATATTTGGGTAAAACAAATTTTAAAATAGAATAAATTTTTATTTAAATTTAAAAATTTACATAAAGTAAAATATTACAAGTACACAAAAATAAATTATTTTAAAATTTTATTTTTTATTTTATGGTTACTTTTCAAAAGATAAAAGATCCTTGCAAAAACTCGCAAATATCTCAAGCAAGTTTTTACAGTATCTATACACATGCAAAAGTAGATGCACGGGTGAAAATATGGTCAACTATTATCAGTTGCACTATGATCCAAACCCCCAAATAAAATGTAAATTAGTATCTCTTATATATATTGCGCTCTATTTTTCATGTTACAATGAATTATTATGATTATAATTTAATGGAACAAATATTCTTTCCATGATTATGGAAAATAATTACAGTTAGTTAAGCGTCTTCCAGCAGGTAAACCTAACTTACACACACACACACCTATACAAGTACAATTTGAGTTTTTTCAAAGTCGACCAAACCCAAATTAAATATCAAATAATATATCATACAACCATAACTCAAATTAATCTAAAATATTATATCAATCAATTAGAAGAGGAAATGGCCAAGCAACATAACAATTGAATTTTTTTTTAAGATTAATGTTATATCTACAAGCCAACCAAGATTTAGTACTGCATCTCTACATTGATGTTTTTTTTCCCCCGTCAAAATCTCTACATTAATGTTATATCTACAAGTTCAAATCCTACATTTCGTAAAATAAAAACAAATATAAGCATTTAAATATTCAAATTATCTATTTGATTATCAAATCTCCACGTCATGCACAAAATCTTTTTTTGGGTTGCATTAAAGATGTAGCACAAAAAATGCATTAAACATATAGGTTCCCGATATCTACATACTGCTATTAAGATGCAATCCCTAGTCTCCTTAAATTAGCCACCCCTACACATGATAACTTGTGTCATGCATATCCTCTAAAAAAAGGGGAGAATTATAATTGGGTTCCAAATAAAAAAATAAATTATTTCTTCAATCCATTCAGAAATGAAATTTTTATATTACCATGTTAAACTTCAATATTTACAAGATAAAACTTAAATAATTAGAGCTTGTTTGTTTACTATTCTTAAAAATTATTTTTTAATTTTAAAAATTAATATTTACAAGAAGATAAAACTCAAATAATTGGAGTCTGTTTGTTTACTATTCTTAAAAATTATTTCTTCATTTTAAGATTTTTAAAATGAAAAAACTTGTTTGATTAATGATTTTTTAATTTTTGTTTTGAAAACAGTTTTTAATTTTTTGTTTCTAAATACAAGAAAACTAAAATAATTTTGAGTTGTTTCTGTTCCTTTTTTTTTTTTTTAGTTTTACAGAGCAAAAGTGAAAAACAAGAAATGAGAATTGTTCTCATTAATGGCAAACGTCATATTTTGTCCCGACAAAAAAAGAATAACCCATCTCATAAATTTATAAAACTATTTTTGAATTACTATTGCCAAACAAATTTTTTATTTGTTCTCAAAAGGTTTTTAAAATTGTTTTATAAAACAACTTTTAAAAACAAAAAATGAAAATAACAACCAAACAAGCCCTTAGTTTTCTTATCTAGAACATTTTCCCATGCTCAATTATGGATAGACCTTATCATATTTAATTGTATTACTTGGGATGTAATTCTCCAAAGTAATATAATTAAGGGAAAATCATAGTGAAGGGCCTTTGGAGCATTTTATTTACAGATAAGGACCAATTGAACATAGCAAAATGACAATACACAATTAGTTATCATTTTATTATGATCAGTTGTCAATGAAATTTGATCATTTTATCATCTCCCAACCGTAAATTATAAAGTACACCAAAAATTAGATTACCCACATATCACACATTTAGGCACTATACCATCAAATGCATCATCAAATGCAAAATCATTGAGGTCGCATGAAGACAAGCCTAAAGAAAGATCAAGGTGGAAGCAAGCAGCGTGTATGGAACTACGAAGAAGTGTGGGAAAAAAAACCTTCATTTATACCATAGAAAAAATGTCAAGGTCAGATAGGGAAAAAAATTAGGTTCTTTCCCCTCATCTCCAACCACCATTAAACTAAGCAATGCACCACAAAATACAGGTTGCAAGTTAAGTAAACTTCAGCGTTTTGCCTGAGCAATGAAACAAGAGAATACAACAGTGACCTAGCAACTAGGACGAGCAGTTTGAATATTACCATCTGAATTCCGAAGCAATTAAAACCATAATCTACTTCTCAGATCTAGATTTTGGATTTTTTTTTTTTTTTTGGGAATACCTAGATTTTGGATTTTTGATGTCTATGGAACTCACCAAGTCGTGGCCATGCCTATCTAGTGAAGGATTAATGCAAACTACTGGAGTACTGCACCATGATGGGCAAATTAGAACCTTCCCCAGCGATCAAGAACTCGAGCACTGAATATGATGTTGCATGAAAAAACAGACTCAATCTAGCCAGCACGAGACATTTTTATTCTTGGCATTGCCTTCTTCATCTGACGAGCACGGTCTTTCGCCTCTTTCTTCTTAATAGCCTCTGCACTGAGCTTAGCCTCTGCTTCCTCCAGCATCTTTCTCCTTTCAGCCTTTTTTCTCTGCAAGGCTTCTTGTCGGGCATTCTGACGTTCTTTCTGTCGTTCCTGAGCAGCCTTTAGCCGAGCAGCCTCTGTCTTAGACCGAGCCTGCATTGTGGGCATCGAAGTCTGAGAGAGGACCATACATGCAACCTAATTTACTATACAACAGGCATAAGATAGGGCAAATTCACCAACCTGAGCACTTAGTTTTAATCTCCCAACCAAATCAATATAATATGGTACCAGAGCCACCAACCGAGTCATGTCAGCCATATTCTTAGCATCTGGGAGCACAAACTTGAACAACAGTACCTTTTTGTGGATGCCAGGATATTGATCAGAGAAATGCATTGATATGAAACCTTTTCCAAATTTCTCAGAAGCTTTGTCACCAAAAACCTGCAGCACGTTGTTAATAGCTCATTAGGAGGCCAGGAAGCAAATCAAATTCCTGATTAAGAACTGTACAGATGCCAAACACAAAACTTGCGCAACTGTCTTTAAATGTCACATGGGCCAGAACGTGCATGATTTAAAAGCAGCCAACCATAATGAAGTCAATCTCAGCCCATCAAGAAATTTATACCCTCAAATCATATATACATAAATTAAACAATACTTTAACCAATGGACACATATCATAGAAACAAGAGAGAAGAATGCAAAAGAAAGAAGCAAATCATATATAGAATTATATGATTTAAAAGAAGCCAGCCACAGTGAATTCAGTCTCAGCACATCAAGATACTTCTGGGTGCAAATTATACACATAAAAAGGTTATGGTGCAATTTTACCCTCAAATTATTCATGGAGGAGCAATGTTGTCCCTAAACTATTCAATGCAGCAATGTAGCCTCTAAACTAATTAAATTGGAGCAATGTTGCCCTCAACATTTAAAACCCAAAAACGTCCATTATTTAAAGCAAGTGGATCCCATTTAGCTGGCACACATGGCAGTTATCAGAACACTTGCAGAACAGTTCTTACCCCACACTCCACCTTCCTCCTCTCCTTCTCTCACACCCGAGAGAAATACCTCTCTATCTTTACACTGTTTGGAAAGGAAAATGGGAAGCATCTCTTGTGAATCAGTTCTTTCTCATGCCAACTCTTTCCATGAAGAACCTGAAATTCAGACTGGCAATTTGTGTGCCTTTGATCTAGGAGACGACTAGCGGGATCGTTTCAGGATCAGGAGCCACAGTTTTGGGGGAATGTCCTCTAGCGGCAAGAAGATGATGATGATGATGATGAATAAAGTTTTGTTTGAAGGTTTTGTGGAGAAGCTGAATGAGGATCTGACTCAAACCAAGAGCTTGACCGATTAAGATCTGGATGAGCTCAAAGGTTGCTTGGATCTTGGCTTTGGCTTCAGCGACAACGAGGAGCTCTACAACACCTTGCCGGCTCTCAAGTTGTGTTATTCCATGAGCCAGAAGTTCATGGATGAACATCAGAAATCACCTAAGTGTTCACCCAAGGTATTGCTGTCACCCACAGATTCCTGTTCTTCCTCGTCCAACTTTGCGGCCAATTAGAAAAACTAAAGTCTTGGTGAGTGGCAACTCGTTGCTTCTCTTATTTCCTCTTTTGCTGAGAGGAATTATTGAGATCAATTTTTTTTTCAGACTGTTGATGTCAAATTGATATGCAGAGGTCTCAAAATCTTGTACTAATATGCTGTTAAGCATAAATTTAATTTACTCACTTCATCCATGATAATTCAGCTCAAATAAAAATTATTTGTGCCTTTTTAATAGATTTTATATCCCAGGGTGCTTTAAGGTGCAGATAAACAACATGGACCGATTAATTTTTCCTTCATAGCGTTATCATCTCTCACCATTCAGCAAGTTAGTAAGCTGGCATCCAAGGGTGGTCAAACTCCATATTCTCTCACTAGCTTAATAGTCAAACGTTTGGGTATTAAATGGTGGGAGAAATATTGCTCCAATTTAATTAGTTTAGGGGCCACGTTGCTGCATTGAATAGTTTAAGCACAACAATGCTCCTCCACAAATAGTTTAGAGGCAAAATTGTACCTTAACCCTACATAAAATTAAACAATACTTTAACCCATAGACACTTATCATTGGAACAAGAGAGAAGAATGCAAAAGAAAGAAGCCAACCTATATCCATAAACAAACATAAACCATATAGAGTGGTTGCATTTAGCGTGGCTGTATATGAATGAAGTTTATTAAGTTTCAATTTCATCTCAACATGTAATACAATGAACTATGAAATAGCCTGAACCCTGGGAATGAGGTACTAGTACTACTCAATTCCTTTTTCTTTTTTTTAGCAAAAAGGTGGAGCCTATATGGAATCGAAACTAAGAATTTTGTTTTAGCCCACTGGAGAACTTGAGCATTACGGTGTAGCCTATGTATCACAATCAGCACAACCTAGCAAAATAAATCTAGTGATCCTGTTCTGCCTTCTTCAAATAAATCCTTAACAATTAGCAAAGTGAATAAACCAGATAAAAGTAATTACTAAAGTGTATCTTAGATGATCATAAGACAGTGAATGATGGATATTTACTGGGATGCATAAGCATTGATCAATAAATATCATGACAGTTGAGACATTTCCCAGAAGAAATAATGGTCTTCCAGCTTTTGGATCATTAAGGACAAGCATAATATCATATAAGGGGTACTCTTCCCATTTCCCATTTATGGTATTCAGTCACTTGTAAATTTCTAGTCCATTTTAACCTCCAGACAATTCAATTTCTAACCTACTACGTGATATTAACAGTTAAGTGAGGCTCTCCATAAGGATCTGGTCAGCAGTCTAGAGATTTCAGTACAATAAATCACCCTTGGTGAGTATTTCAAAGAGTTGGATTTCACAAATCAACAAGCTCTTATCAAGTTGCTCATGATTCATAAAAGTCTAATTGATTGATTTTGCCATCCACACTGGTACCTTCAGAGAATCCTATTGATGTATATTTCTTTTGAATATACTACTCATCTTATGTTTCCATCTAAACTAGATAGAAAATGAAACCTTCAGGCAGACATTATGCAATTTTGTTGATAGTGAGTTTTAATGAATCCCTTTCATCTTTTCTTTCTTTATCAACACAAAACCTACACTCAAAAACTTAATTTTTTTACTTCTTCATACCATAAAACTTTGATACATGCACACAAACAATCCCCACGTTATGCTTCCAGCTTCCAGAAGCGCTAGAAAAGAGTATTACTCGTGAACTATGAACAATGGGCAATGACACTCACAGACATGTCAAACTTCGAACAGTATAAAGCATCACATGAGGTGGCATCTATTCATATATCTTGTCATTTGTCATTTCAAAAGTTTAAACCTTCCACTAGTGATATATCTGATATTTCAAAAAAAAAAAAAAAATAGCATCATTGAATACCTAGATATTCTGACTAATTAGTAAAAATTTACTAATTGCTAATGACTAATTTGTCAATCACTATTTTTCACATTATTCGTGCACCAACAAACTTAAGAAAATTATTAACTCATCATGATAGGGTTTCAAGTCCATTCTACTTCAGTTTTCGGCTGTTTTCTCTTTCCTAAGTCATCCATGTATTGTGGAAAGTTTGATGTCCAGCTAAAAAGTTTTATAAGTCATAAAGAACGACATAGGATTTAAGCATAGGATTCTATAAACTACATAATATAATAAAAAACAAAAGAACAAATCACACAAGGAAATGCACAGTAAAACATGATAATCCACCACGAATAATTTGTAAAGATAAACAAAATCAGTTCAAACCTGCTCAAGCACAGCCTCTGTAATCAATTCACCTGCAACTTCCTTTGACTCTGAAATAACAGCTAACTCATCAGCAACCCACTTCCTACCGTTGGGAGGTGAAACAAGACCCGCAAACCTCTGCAAATCCCACACATCCTTCTGCATAGCTTTCGCTGCCTTCTTCTTGGCCATTGCAAACACTACGTGATCCATGGCTTCATCGTTCATATTTACCTCAAAGGTAATCTCATCTCTAGAAGGCACAATCATATTGTATATCCTTGATATCAGATCTTGCCTGCTCTTCAACTCCATCGTAGCCAGCAAACCCTGGCAATACCTTCTGCCGCTCGCGTAGAACTTGAACACCGTTTGCCCTTCTTTCAGCAACAAAGGTGCATCATCACCGCCTTCGCCGATCCCCAAAAGACTAAAATTTTTCTCGAAAATCGAGTCCTTCGTCGCGAACTGAGCAGCCCAGGCGAGAGCTATATTCTCGTTCTCGCGCTTCCCAGTAAAGTAATTAACCGCAAACATAATCAGAAAACTCCCGCAAACAATCTCAATCGTAAACGAGCGCGAACCCTTAACATCCCCAGATTTCGAAGAGACCTTAGGATCCGAACTATTATCCGCGGGTTTGGAATCTTCCGGAGTATTGGAGATTTCCGGAATGGGCTGCTCCACTGGTAAGCCTTCAAATTCGTCTTCATCCCAGAATTCGACGGCGGTGGTAGTGGGTGATGTCTTCGGAAGATCCGAAGCTGATGATTGAGAATCCGAATCCAAATCCAAATCCGGGTCGGGACCAGATTCCGTGGTCTTGGAATCTGGAGGGGTGAGTCTAGTAGTTTGGGGCTCCGATTGCGTCAAAGGGGGTGATCGGAGAGAAGTGGGATCGATGGATTGGTCGTCGAACTCGTCATCTTCGGCTTCGAAGCCTTCAAAATGAGATTCGGCTCGAACAAAAGAACCCGAAGAGAACTGATTGAGAAAGAGAGAGAGTATTACAAGGAGATAAAAGATGAAAGAGAAGTGCTTCGCCATGATTGATGTGCGAAGAAGGGGAGAGCAACGGAAGAGAAGAAGGCTAGAAGTCCCAGCGGCACTGATTACTGAGAAGTCAAGGGAATAAAAATGTATGTCTGGGGTTACTTATGTCTTTTGACAGCCAACAAATTTCTTTAGGGGGGAAATCACAAAAAAAAAAATTAAAAATATGTAAATAATAATAAAGGCCTGAAAAATATAATAAAATCTTTAAAATATTTGTGACATTTATTTCATTTGTAAAATAAATATAATATCTCTAATTTAAAATTTAAAATAAAAAATAAGAACATAATGATTATTTTAGTTTTGATAACTATTTTTTTTCTGATAATAATTAAAATGAGATAATAAATGATAAGTTTAACCTTCCACATTTTTTAATTACTAAAAAGCTTAAGTGTTGCAAGTATCAATGATTACTTTAATTTAAATATTGATTATTTTTTCTTTTGACTATGACTAAAGTAAGATAAGTAATTACAATTTTCCCTTTGCAAAATTTTGTACCTAAGTTTTGTGAATTGCAATTATTTTAATTTAAAAAATAACTATTTTTTTTTATAACAATGATTAAAATGAGATAGCAAATAACAAGTTAATATTACAAAAGTCATAAGAGACTTAAGAGAAATTATCATATTTTAAGAAACTTTATTGTTATTTGCATATTTCAAAAAGATTTTACTGTCATTTTTTTCTTTTTTTAAATGAGTTTGATTTAAAAAATGTAAATGTGAGATTGAAAATTTTTAGTTAATTTTCTATGCCCATTCCACTTATTTACTCCCTCTGATTTTTATCATAAGATAACTTTTAAAAGTATTTTTCTTTTTTTTTTTTGTCTCAAAAGGAAAGAAAACCCAACTAAGGTTTGTTACTACAAATACAAGTCTGACTAACGCCTAGAGTATCATTATGCAAAAGTTTTTTCATGTCTTAGGTGGATGATCCAAGTCATACACTCCAATGTCCACGAAGAGAGTGAAAGAAGCCAAAAGGTCGACACATTTTTTCCCCTCCCAATATATGCGATTGACCTCAACTTGCCACTCTTTATGAAGAAGAGAATGGATTTGCCTAATTAAGCAGTTGTTAGTATTCACAGCCGTGGTGTCTTGTGATAGGAGAGTCATGGCTAGTATACAGGCAATATCTAGCTTAACCTTTTTGAAATCATAGTCCTATGCCACATTCAAGCCATCAGTCATAGCCCAAACACCAATGTTGCGACAACAATCATGATGCCAAGATCCCTTCGTATTTCATAATAAGCATCTTGCACCTATTTGACTACTAATGCTTTTGATAGCACTATCACAATTAAGAGTCCCCCAACTTATTGATGGTTTCTTATAGCTAATGTTATGAGAAAATTTGGTTGGTCCACGTCCTTGAGTTTTGCAAAGAGCATCCCTTCCCTTTAATGCAAAGTCTACTAGAAAATGTCCTTCAACTACTAGTTAGTTCCTAAAAAATAAATTTGTTACAAGCATCCCATAGTTTCTAACAAATAAGACAAAAAATAAATGCCCATGTAGAGTTAAGATTGCTATCAATTGTGTATTCTTATAGACTGTGTAGCATCTAGTTTTCAAACAAGTTATTTAGAAAGTGATACAGCCTATTTTGATGCATGAGTACTCTCCAAATATCACTTGCTAAACAACAATGTCTTAGAATATGATCAATATCCTCACTTCTCGTGCCACATCTCGAGCATAAGTCACTATGAGTCATATGTCGTCTAACACATTCTACATCAGTCAAGAGAGCACCATAGATGGCTAACCACAAGAAGACCTGTACCCGCTGGGTACTTTCATGCTTCCATATTACATCCCATTTGTTGTCTTGTATGTTCCAATCATCCTTCATAATTAACTCATATATAGATTTCACCAAGAAGCAAGAATTCACCATTCACTATAACAGAATAAGCTAAATATAACGCCTTATATTTGATGGTTATAAGTGTAAAATAACAAATAAAAAAGACACTAAATATTTGACGATTGTTTCAAACCAACTGTCAAGTATTTAGTATATATTTAACAGTTATATTGACATAACTGTCAAATATACCTGCATCTCATATTTGATTTTTTTATAAATATATTTGATGCTTGTTTGTTAATAACCGTCAAGTATATTTTAGTGTGCTTGATGGCTATTTGTAAATAAACATCAAATATATGATTTAAATGGAAAAATAAAAAATTAATTACTTGACGCTTGTTTATTAATAACCATCAAGTATGTCTACATTTTATTTGATAGTTATTTAATAACAAGTATCAAGTAATGAATACTTGATGATTATTATAAAATAACCGTCAGGTATTTTCTTTTAAATTTACACTCTAAAACCTTTCATTTTCACATTTCTGCAACTTGAACATTTTCAAAAACACACCCAGAGTGCTTGAAAATCATTTTCTGTCACTAAAATTGTCTAAAAACACAAATTTAGACTCGATTCTCCTTGGGTTTTGCTCGTGGGTTCTATTTTTTGGGGTTCGTGCGTTGCTCGTTCATCTAAGTCTTCATTTTAGGCGTTTTGGGTTCATTCTCCGTCTTTCATATGTAAGTTTAATTTCTCTTTCATATGTTTAATTCGTTTTTGGGTTTAGTATTTAGGATAAATCTGACTTGAAACTCCCCTACTTGCTTTTCAACAGTGCAAAATACTAGTTGTCTTCTCTCCTCCTTCCCCTGCTCTTCTTCTTCATCCTCGTGCTCTACCTCTTTTAAGTAAGTTGGCCTATCATTCTTCCTTGTGGTATTGTCGTCAATTGATTGTAATTAAGGATTTGATTGGAATTAGTGATTGGAATATAAATTTTTTATTCATTAAAACTATGATTTGTGATTGAATGTATATAGGCTTTGGTTTTTGGTTCTTTATTAGTGAGGAAATTAAATTTAAGATTATATGAAAGTTAATTTACTGTTGGGCATTATATGAATTTGTTGAAAATTTACTTCCCTTATTGTGGTAATAGTGATAATTTTGTTATTGGATAACTTGATTAGATATGATTGAGTTATATTAAATTTTTAGGATGAAATTTTTATATTAATTGTTGCTGTAGATAATTTGATTAGGTATAAGTATTATATGAGAATTTGTGAATGATGAAATTTTTGAATAAAGAGAGAGTTCAAAACTTGAAAAACTCTTTTTTTTAAGCTATTATGCTATCAAATTTTTTAGGACAAAATTTTTATATCAATTATTGTTGGGTAACTTGATTAAGTATAATTAAATTATATGAAAACTTGAATGATGAAACTTTGTGTTTAAGTTGATTAATTATATTCTTTTTATCTAAGTTGATTAATGTTTGAATTAATTATGTGAATTTTGTTTAAGTTGATTGATTGTGTTCTTTTTATTTAAGTTGATTAATGTTTGAATTAATTCTGTGAATTTTGTTTAAGTAAATCAATGATTTAATTGTCTTCCTTTACAGATAAATGGCTTCTAATAGTGAGTTTGTTAATACCTCTCTATCAATTCTAGCTACAAATTCAACTGAGGTTCTAAGTATACAGAAAAAGCTAGAGCAGGAGTACAATAACATTTAGTGGGGCCTAACGATAATGGAAGAGGTGACAAAGACAAGAGTTGTAGGAAAAAAATTGATGTACAATGGAACAAGAAAGGGCAAGTAATTAAATCCTCAAAATTCATAAGTTATATTGGGATGGTAGCAAAAACTACTGTGCCTGTCATAGTAAAATCATGGCACAAAGTAGATGAAGCCACGAAGGCTCTTGTTTGGGATACTATAGCGGTAAGTTACATTTTACTAAATATATTTTAGTATAAACTATTTTTAAAATTAATGTATTTGATATGTTGTTTATTTTATTTTGCAGTCAAGAATTGACATTGATGAGAGCAGGCAAGATTTTGTCCTACAAAAGGCTAGGAGGACATTACCGTCTTTTAGATATTTCATCACACATAAATATTTGAAAGATCCTAATGCTGAACTTATAACTCGAGTTCCTCCCTTATTACAGCCTTTTGGTAAAACAAGAGGATTGCAATGCTTTTGTTGTCTCATGGCGTGGGAAGGAATTCAAAGTATTAATATTTCTTAAATTTCAAGTTTGGTATTATTTATTGATTGTATGTGTATGTACTAACAAAATTTTTTGTTATTAACTTGTCAAGGAATTGAGTGCTCAGAATAAGGAAAGAGTAGCGAAGAATGAATATCCTTATAGAGCAGGGAAGTTGGGTATGCAAGCATTGAGCAAAAACAAGTAAAGGAGGAGGGATCAGAGGTTACCATATCCCGTCATAAGCTCTGGGAATTAGCACGTACTAATAAAGAAGGAATTATTGACAACCTCTGTGTGAAGGAGGTTACTGAAAAGATTGTAAGTATTATATTTATCTATTACTTAATAATTAATTATGAATATCTAAACTAATCATATTAACTCTACACAAGATTCTATCTCTCAAGAAGTCTTACAGGGCAACCTTCCTGAGGATAAGGATATGTTGGCTAGGGTGTCGAGAACTACTAACCACCCTGGTCGTGTCAGGGGTGTCGGCTTTGGCATCAGAAGAAGCAATATTTAGCAAGATAAAAAAGTAAACATCAGCTTTTTCATCTGAGGTCTAAGAGCTGAGAGAAGAGCAAGCCATTATGAAGTAGCAACTACTAGCCCAGGCAGCATTAATTGACATGTGTTGAAGGAGCAAGTCCCTGGGAGGACTTTGGGTGAGATTAGCCTTAGTCAGAAAGATAGTTGCACAGTCCCCTCAAAAAAACTACTTAAGGTAATATATTTTATCTTATGAATTTGTCCAATTATTTTTATTTTAGACATTGATCGTTGTTGTTTGTTTAATTAAGGTGAGAACGATTGCAACTATTTGGCAAACACTCCTGAACGTAGAGTGATTGCAACAGGGCACATGTACAACATTTTCAGGGAGACGATCCATAATCATCCCCTCCCGCCTAACTGTATTAGAGTTTCTCTACTTGTTGTCGTCGACCCCAACTATCAATTACCTGTTCCTATTAATGAGGCA